AGAGAGAGAGAGAGAAGTATCGAACGTAAAATTATTGACCTTTTCAATTGTATAAATACGCTCCCGTATTTATCGACAGCATAATATTCTCTGCGTAAAACGGATCGTGGGCTACGGGTGGTAAAGCTTAATTGCATTTAATCTCTCCGTATGCGCGATACAAGTCCATCGATAATTACACCGGCTCTTTGATGTGTGCCTGTAATAATATACAGTCCTTCGCCCACATCCTCGCGTGCGCGCCATACACGTCGCACTCGATTTAAGCTGTCTTCCGTCCTGCAAGGGACTCGCCTTCGAGCGAGCCGGTATCGGAAAAGCGCATCGATGTGTGAAAATGCGTAATATCTTCGAATGCAGTGTCCTTGTAAATATATCGCGTCAACAAGAATCGTGCTACATATAAAATCCACGAGCTTCTACAACGTTGGCTACGCCAACTCGACCGAAAGATATTTAAAATTATTTTCAACGAATACAAGAGATTAATCTTTTGTATAATGTATTATCGAAAAATTATTGTTACAATTCGCAAGTTCTCAATTTTTAATATTAAATTGTACGATTAATAAATGTCAAGTATAAAATCTCCATTAGATTAATGTCGACCTGAAGTTAAACAGAATAGAATTAAAATTGTATCACACTTCTATCTTCACAAAATGCACTTTTTTATTTTAAAAGTTTATTTCAATAAATCTGGGACACATTTCCATATATGAGATATATTTTTAAAATAGTGTAAAATGACATCTTCTTTATTCAGCCTTTAAATTTTATCTTTAATATCTCATAATTTAAATTAGGAATATTATCATTTTTCCAAATAAATTTTCATTAAAAAGTGAATAAAAATTTATCAATAAACTCAAAAAGTATCGTTAAAGTATTTTCAAAATTTGCAAATATTATTTGCAAAATTAATAATGCTTAGTTCGATTACTAATTCAATTTTTATTTAATATCGCCGAAACGTCATTACGCCATTATGTGTTGATATACTTGCATCGAAGGATTTAATTTCGAACGAGATGTTTCGCGAGATGGATGGAAATGTCGGCAGATCCTTCTCAATGGCATAACATTCTCGGGCGAGTTTAAATGAGCTGACACGTGCAGACACGTGCTACGAAAAATGGATGGCTTATTACAAGCTCGGTTGCGTTAATGGAGGAACATTCATCGTTTGCCTCTAACGAAGAAATGAATTTGACGAGTAAAATTAGTTGGCGAATTACTTCCGTATGACTTGACACGATCGATTTAAAATAATACATCTTGTACCTTCATTCTTCATAAATTAATTAATTAATAAAAACAAAATTAATGATTCAATCTTTGCGCAAAAGTTAAAAAAATGTAGAAGTAAAAAATAAACTGCTAATTAACTTAATATATCGTTATTAGAAATTGTTGCTGTCTTGTTTATTTACTCATTCATTATTCCATCTCCTTCTCTCTTTATCACGATCGTTATTAATGGATTATAAAATTAATTTGCCTAAACGTATATTGCAACATTTGCAATATGTATGTATATATAATAACTTAACTAATATTATCTACATTACATTTGGATGTATTCCTTTGCTTTCAATCATTTCATCATTGCGTCACATTTGAAAAGTTTACGATAATTTCCACAACGTCTCAATTTCTACAAATTTTTCCGCAATATTTCTTAATAATAATTTGCACAGATTCGCGATTTTCAAACAGTTTATCTGTTTTTTTTTTTACACGTACACGGATATACGCGTAATACAAAGCATTACGTTAGCGCAATGTCACATATCGCTCGGTGAGTAAAGCTCTACTGTTAGAGCTTGGAAGGGAAACTCAGTTGGCGAGCAGCAACTACGTGCCGTAGGACTTAACCGCGCAGAAGCCGTCGATAAGGAACTTCCGGCTGGCGAAATCGAAGCGAAGAAAGCTATCCGTAGTGCGTACGAGAAGAGAAGCGAGAGGAGAGAGAGAGAGAGAGAGAGAGAGAGAGAGAAAGAAAAGTGAAGTCCACGACCGAGTTCTGACCTGCAAACAGGTTCAATCCCTCGATCGAAGAGAAGAGAGACGTGTACGAGACGAGCTCGTGTATGTATTTCTTTCTCCTTTCTGGAATTTTTCCAGACGCGACAATCGATTTCCGCGTGCAATGTCGCGCGCTTTCAGCGCGAATGCAGAAAGCGAACTGGAACGGAAGAAAGACGTGCGTGGCCGTCACAGTGCACACATATCGATTGTCGCCGACCGTCCTTCTCGCTTCCTCTTCCTCTCATTTCTCTTTCGAGCTGGATACCTGATTCACTCGCGCGACATGTACGCACGCGTGTACACGGCCGTGTTAACGGCGAGTGAACGAATAGAGTTGCATACGTCTGGAAAATTGGAGGAAATTAGGAAACTATTCGAGAAAGCTTGAAAAATTGCGAAGAAATTTCTAAATCTCTCAAACGCGAAAAAATTGAATAAAAAAATTTCTTAAGCGACCACATTGTACAAAAATTTAATTTTAATTGCTTTTTATTTGTATAGGCACATTTCTTTATGTATTTATTTATTTCTATTAGTAATACTTTATTATAGATGATCATTAATGCAATTTTTTATCATAGTAACTTTTATCAAATATCTATACAGCAGCTGTGACATGATTTCCGGACAGAAGAAAATGTAAAAATACATGAAGTATGACCAATCCTATAAAACTTTGTACACAATTAAAAAAACATCTCATTGTCAGCTCGTGGTCGCTATCACATCACATATATGATATGATAATATTTTTGTTTCATAATGTTTCATAATGCAGTATTGTCAATCCCAGAACTTTTCTTCTTTGACTATGTATATTAAATTATGTATATTAAATATATAAAATATTAAAACTATAATGCTAATATTATTATTTTTCTGTTTCCAGATTGCTTTTTACTGTATCAATCTAATTAGGATCTAATTAATTCTACATTCCTATGTTGTTGCTCCTATGTTGTAGGATCACAGTAGATTTTTCCAAACAGTATATAAATCAAACAGTATATAAATAGAAGAAACATGTAGTATACACAATAATTTTATTATTGTGTATGATAATATCTAGAAAAAGATATTTTCTTGTGACACTTGTAATCCTTCCTGTCTCCAGACATATTGAGCACCCTTGAACTCTGAACTCTTACATACACTCTTTGTTAATCTTATAATTAACGATAAAACGATAAAAAATCTTAACTGTGGACACTAAGGAAAACTAAGGAAAAAAACTAATCTTAAACATTGAAGTTAATAACAAATTCACAGATCTCAGTCAAGGAAAAAGTAGAAGATAGAACTAAGAGTTAAAATAAAATATTTTTATGATGTGATATAATAAATAAGAGTACCGTGACATAATTAACATCATCCAACTAATGGAAT